TTTTTTTTTTTTTTTTTTTTTTTACTATGAATTGAAAGTAAATTTCCTTATAACTATTTACTTGTTGATTTGATTTTCTATTCCCACATTTGTATGGAAATATTTTAGAACAAATATATAAAAGTTTATTATGAATAAGAAAATACTTAAAATTTGAGTTATCTATATGATTCTCTTACAAATACCAAGATTTTATGCACACTGACAGTAAATTTCATCTCAAGTTTACAGAACTTTGGCACTGATAATTCATTTTGATTTATATATGCTTATACTAAATGCATAACTGCTTTATATACTCTCGCTGAAGCTCAAAATCTGTAAAGACCTCCTCGTTGTTTCAATGCAATTAACTCGATGAAGAAGACTTTGAATCCCTTGAACCCAACTCTGCTTATGGACCTTGTTCTTGCACTTGAACTCTATAAGACCTTGTGCAGTTTTCAGGCCGAAATAGATCTCGTTCGAGATATCTCTCTTTCTTTCATATGGCCATGACGACGTTTCGTCGCAAAGCCCGTAAACAACACCTAGAACACAGCAGAAGCACAGTTGCATGAAGCTGTTAGGACAAGTCATGACGAATAGGATGAAGAAACCAATGATATTTGATGCATACATTTGTTTTTCTTCGAAAAGGTCCCTCCGACGTGCTTGCTTTTAATCGATGCTATCACCTGAAATCGGATTTGATATTCATTACAACGAGTTTTGATTGTCGTCTGGTTTCTTGATGAATCGTCGAATTATTTACCTGAGATTTCTTGTTGATGTAGACAGAGACCTCCTTCCATCTCAGGGTTCCTGTTAGCACAACAAGAAGTGGTTTAGTTTGAGCAGCTCCACCAGTGGTCTATTGTGGAAGTTCTGTTATCAAATATAACAGTTCATTCAACAAAACTTGTTATGTTTTGAACCCAATATGAAGTTTTTGATTAAACACAACGATCTGGGAATCAGAATGCAATAGAAATTGAACTTTTTAAAGGGAAAAAACTGTACCTTTTTGTGTAAACTGCAGCAATTCACCCACACAGGGAAGCTCCTGCTCCTCCATATGGCTATTAAACGCAGTAGCCCAATGATTTTGAGCCATTATCCTATCATAAGGACTAACCGAAGCAATCTTTCGGCCTTCCTTCGGTAATCTTGATCGGAAAGCGGCTTCTCCTCGCAAAGCTGTATTTTGGTAATCATATCAATGCTTCTTCAAATGAAACAAATGATCTTAATCTTTCATTAAAAGGCCAGAAAGATAGATCAAGTACCTGTGGCAGCTGCAGCTGTTAAAGTCATGAGGTCACCTGGACTCCGAACATCGACTGCGGATCGGATAACCGAACTGACTCGCTCATGGTCGGCGCCAGCAAATTCAGCCATCTCTATGCAATGAGATGCCAAAATCTCAGTAGCTGAGGCTAAAGCCGTGCCCATTCTTGAATCAGGGCCAGCAGAGTTCTCTGCTGCTACCACAGCAGCCAAGGCTGCAGCAAGTGCAGCCACAGATAAAGCAGAATGAACACGAGCATTTTCAATTCTTGCTCTATCCTTCTTTTTGTCAACACTATTACCACCCTCCTTGTGGTGAAAATGAAACCATTTTCCCAATGATCCCATCCTCCAAGCATGGACAGAACTCATAATCTTTCCTGGCTGCACAAAACAAATAGAACAAACACTCAATAAATATTGGCCAAAACACAAATCCAGAGATGAAAAATATTCATAATCTTCAACTTACAAGTTGTGGGGGTTCAATGACCTCAGGAATTGCGATGGGGCTCCTCTCAATGTAAAGCTGCTTCTGCTTTTGAGCAAGAGCTTTTGTAATCTCAGAAGCTGATAGACTCCAAGACCTGGCCAAGAACTCCATGGGTTCCTGTGGAGTTTGAGGCTGAGGAATTGAAGGCAAAGATGACACAATTTTCATCTCCTCGTCTTCCTCCGTATTCCTTAGCCCAAGAATTGAGCTATATTTCCAACTTGAACAGTATTCCTTTTCCATTTTCCCCCAAAATCCTTCCCACAAGAGTACAATCAAAAACCCTGTTTTGGAAAACAAAAAAAATGTCTCTTCCAAGAACAATTATCTCAGCGGCATTTTCACAAACACCTTATATACCCAAAGACAACCAGACAAGAAGAGATTCAGCTGCACATTTCAACGCCCTCGTGCTCTGAACCACCACAAAATCAGGTCGGGGTTCAGCCAAAAGCAACCAGAAAGAAACAAAGAAAGAGATTGAAATTCACGAAGATCGAAATGGAGAAAAATATTAAATTAAGAACACCATGCAAAAGCTTCGTCCTGAATCGAGGGGGGCTGCTTCTTAACACTCAGGCAAGCAGGGGATTCTTCAATTTGAAAATTGGGAACAGACCCAGATGATTATTTATTTATGAATGGAACATTTTTGGGCAATTGATTTATAGTATTATTGAATTTGTATCGAGGAATAAAGTTAAGGCGCCTTCATCAATGACTTTCATTGCTCTTTTGACCATTGATGTGTATAATCTTTTCATTCAATTTTTTTAGTTTCCACTTTATGACACTTTTTATTTTATTTTCTCAATAAATGTTGTACTATATCATAGACTTAATAATTGAAGATTTTCAAAAAAAAAAAACCCATTGGGCCACTTGCATGTTCATACCTTATTGAATTTCCATGCAAAATAAAAAATAAATAATGTGCAATTGCCATCCGTGTGGAGCTGTCGGTAAAATTACAGAAATCCATGTAAAGGACCAAACGAAAAGGCAAGCCAATGACCGGTTTGGACGGTTACCTTTCATTTCCTTTTCATTATTGTTTCTTCCTCTTGCGTATTTTCCTTATGATTTATTCATTAACCAAGAAATATATTGCTTATTCCGTATGGATTATTCCTTTTCTTTATTTGATGGCAACTATGCAAACGTTGTTTTGAATTGAAGACATAAATAGAGGTTTAGTCGAGAGAATTAATCATTTACTTTGTCAAAAGTTCGAATTAGTATATTTTGCATTACCAATTTTTTAACAGAGACCTCTAAATAGGGTGCAACTTGAAACGTCTACTTTCAAGTAATTTATTTGCTTTTGACGGGCTAATAAATGAACGACATGTTTTTCCACCTTATCCTATTCGTGATAATTAGCTATCTCAACTTATTGAAGCGCACCATTTACCTCGGAGAGGGGTGGGGGCCTGTTTTGGAAGAGAAGTGAAGTGAAGAGGGTTAAAAAGGGAAGAAAAAACATGGAGGAATAGAATCTTTAGGAAGCCGACATAAATGTATTAACTTTTGGAGTGTGGTTTGAGAAGTGAAGAAAAAAGGGAAAGGAAGGGGGAAAAGAACAAAAATGAAAATGAAAAGCTTCCACTTCATCTAATGCCATACCTAATCTTGGTGGAAGCTTTTTAAAGCCGACAGCGACAAACAACCATACACCTCCAAATAATCTTGTCGGATTTCTCCTACCCCTTTTTTACCATATTACCCTTCTCGTGGCCACTTATATTAACGCCTTCATGCATGATATTATAGTTAAACCATCGAGAAAGAATGTAATTTCTTAATCATTATATTCTCGTAATTGTTCTTATTTAGATGTGGTATTAATTTATTTATGTATCGGTCCAAAAAAAAATGGGGTTAAGTTGGAGGAAGGTCCGGGACATGAATTTGAACTCATTTATTTATTTCAATAATTTTTTATCGAAATAAAAAGAGATTTCAATTATTATAAACATTGTGCGCGTTGAAAATAAATACAACTATACATTGATTGCAATAAATGATAGTTTGGAAAATATCAATTTTGGGGAAGAAAAAGTATGGTCAAAATTAGTTTCGGAATTGCATTGATGAAGTAAAAGAAAAATAATTAAATATCAACTAAAATAATTGAAATTGTGGAGCCCATTCAATCAAAAGGAATTATACATTTTTCAAGGAACTAAAAAACATATGTTTATTGGTTACATGACTGAATTATTATTATTATTATTATTTTAACCTATGATTTTTAACAATATGGTCAATTGGTCAATTGGTCAATTGGGTTGGTACATTAGGAGAAACCACTCTATTTCATTTTTCAAATATCATTAAATAAAATTATATATATTTTTTCCAAAGTATATGATGTTTGTTGTAACTTCCACTTCGAAGGTTAGGAATTTTAGGGCATTTGACCGACTTCACTTGGGCTTGGAATGTGTATTAATTTTTCATAAGAAATTATTTTTAATAAGAAAAAATATACAATTCCACACACCAAACATTAGTTTGGACTCTTTCAGAGAGAAATAATTTTAGTTGGTAAGGAAACTTTATATTAAAATTTTGATGTGCAAAAATAATAATTAATGTTCATTCAATGGTTTTGGTGAAGAAAATATTGCACCTAATATAAAGGGTAGAAAAATAAAAGGTTAAAAATAAAATAATCATATCCACTAAGTTGAATTTTTAAATGGACATTTAGCTCCTAATTGAAAAATAAGATTGTTTAAGAAGATAGTTTATTGTGATTGATAAATCCATTAAGAAGATAATTACACAAAAACTGAGAAACATTTATTGTGATTCAAATGGATGTTATTTATCACATTCAAGTTCAACCAATTTGTAAGGTATAACAAATCATGAAATTTGACCAAATTAAGGCTGATTGGATGATCTAATCTTGCATAATTAACAAGAAAAAAAACATTTTCTTTATATAGATTGGAAGTTTATGGTTTGTAAATAATTAGGTTGTTGTTGGATATATCTCAAGAACTCCAAACACTACAAGTCTGTCTTATACAATGCCAAATTTTGACATGACATTTCATGCTTTTGGACATTGAACATTATATTTCCTTGTTTTTCTATGATCCAATTATTATCATGATTACATCTTATCCTTTTGTTGAAAAATACTCTTGTAACAGTCCTAGCCCACTCCACCGCTAGCAAATATTGTTTTTTTTGGGCTCTTTCTTCCTGTTAAGGTTTTTAAGACACGTCTACTAGGGAGATGTTTCCACACACCTTATAAAGAATGTTTCGTTCCTTTCTCCAAGGGATGTGGGATCTCTCAATCCACCGTCCTTCAAGACCCAGCATCCTCACTAGCACACTGCCCGATGTCCACCTCCCTTCGAAACTCAACGTCATCGCTGGCACACCGCCTAGCATTTGGCTCCAACCCCAAATCCACTATTAGGTAGATATTGTCCTCTTTAGATTTTCCCTTTCGGTTTTTCCCTCAAGGTTTTTATAAATGTGTCTACTAGGAAGATGTTTCCATACCCTTATAAAACATGTTTTGTTCCCCTCTCCAATCGAGGTGGGATCTCACAATCCACTCTCATTCGAGGCCCAGCATCTTCATTGTTACTCGTTCCTCTCTCTAGTTGATGTGGGGTCTCACATATCTTTTATTAATTACTTTTTCTTTCTTACGTCATACCTCCACGTGAAATTCTTATTAGCGTATATAAAGAAGCATTATAAACTTTAATGTAAAATCATAATAATTTAAATAATTTTGAAGACAAAGACTAATTTACACTTTTTTTTTTTTTTATTTATTGAAAATAAACTAAAAAAAGTACAACCCCAAAGGAAGAAGTTCAAAAGAAAAACAAGCAAAGGAGATAAATTAGAAAAGCGCAAAGCAAATTACAACATTTTTCTTTTCCAACAAAAACCAAGGAAAAAAGCACCACACAAACAACAAACCTTAAAGGACAACTGAACTTAAGCATAGTCATCAGAGACTGGAACAGAGGCATAAGACCCAATAAAGACGTCACCATAGATAAGCCCAGCAAGCCCACCACCAATAAGTGGGCCGACCCAGTAGATCCAAATTTGAGAGAAGTCTCCACTGACAACAGCTGGGCCGAATGAACGGGCTGGGTTCATGGACCCACCGCTAAATGGGCCGGCAGCAAGGATGTTGGCACCGACTATGAACCCAATAGCAATTGGGGCGATGGTCCCAAGAGAGCCCTTTTTAGGGTCTGCGGCTGTAGCGTAAACTGTGTACACCAGACCGAAGGTGATTATGATCTCGAACACTACACCCTCAATCGCTCCCAATCCCGCTGCCACACCGTGGGTCGGGATGCTCTGTAATACACCACGATTTATAATTAATATTTTAAAAAATATTAAAATAATCATAAGAGTTAGTTTAAGAAATTAGTTACCTTGCCGTTGGTAACGAACTGGAGGAGGAGGCAGGCAACAATGGAGCCAAGCGACTGGGCGATCCAGTAGAACAAGCCGGTCAAGATGGTGATGTTGCCGCCGATGGCCAACCCAAAGGTCACCGCGGGGTTGAGATGGCCACCGGAGATGTTCGCGGCCATCGACACTCCGACGAAGAGAGCGAATGCATGAGCCACGGCCACGGCCACCAGACCTGGTGGATCCAACGCCGCATCGGACGTCAACTTACCTACACTCATCAACATTAGGAATCAAATTAGAGTTGACCATTATTTATTCATTGTCATTTCTCATCTCTATTATTAAATTATAATTAAATCAATTATTCATATGTTTCTAACACATTGGAAGAAAAAGAGGACTGACCGTAGGCGATGGCGGAGCCGACGCCGGCGAAGACAAAAAGGAGAGTGGCGATGAACTCAGAGAGATAAGCTTTAAGAGAGGCGGCACTGAAGGAATCAGCGGGGGAACCAACAGCCAACTTCACCATTTTCAAAGTTTGGAGAGAGAGAAGTTAGAAGAAGACGATGATGAGTCAGCCGGAGCTCAGGGGTGGTCTCAGAGCTTGGTGGCTATGGGGTTTTTATAAGACCGAAGCAACGTCGTTTTGGAATAATTTGACACATTTTGTTTTTCTTTTTTTGGGATGGCAGTGAGAGTTAATTTTGTGGTTGAAAACGATGAGAGAGAGAATTGGCACGGTGCCGACCAAACCGCCCTTTTTCTTTTTCTCTTTCTTTTTTTCTGATTTTTTTCAATTTTTATCCAACATTATAAATAGAGCTAACTACATTATTGTCGAGTTGTTTGAAATAATAGTATAGACTAAAAAATTAAAATAAAGCCAAATAGAAAATACATATTGTAAATTTTGACCAAATTAAAAATTATAAAGAAGTTAAACTTGAATCCTAGAGGGTTAAATTGGTAATTTAAAGGGTTTTTTTTTTTTTTTTTCTTTTTTCCTCCAAAATTGAAGCTCTGGTAGGCATTAAAAGAATGGCAATGATGGGGTTGGGACGTCTGCCAGCTTTATTGGCATTAAAAAAAAAAAGTAAAGTTGAAACATTTGCTGTCTTATTTTAGAGGAAGAGATTGGAATGTTCTAAGGGATTAGGAATTTGTAGAGTAAGACAACTCTCATTGTTTCATATTTTAATTGCGTTTAGTATAAATAATCCCAAGGAGTTTGGTTTTCCAAATATAAATTATACATTTCCTTCACCGTTTGACCTTAATTTATTTTCTTAAAAACTACATAATCATAATCCATTATTAAAATTTTGA